GTAAAGTCTGATAAATTATATTCCAGCTCGAGAGAGAGAGCAACCGCAATGTCACATTTTCTGATGTAGATTTTTGAAGTACACAGGGGATTAAATTCTAAATGTCTCAGCTGCTTTAGGCCCCTTCAGACTTCCCCCAAATGAGGAACAAAGAAGGAATGAACTTTCCCTAAAGCAATTCATCAGATCTACTTGGGCACAGTGGCATCCTCTTGAGCTTGTAAGGATAAGTTGCCCCAAGTAATTCAAGGGTTTGCAGCTGCTTGGAATATTGGCGAAAGCTTTCTCTAGTCTTTATCATGCATTTCACATGGCCTAATGAGTGCTCACCCACTAGCTAATTCATATCCATCCAGAGAATCCAGTAGGGCTGGTAGATTCAGTCTGTTGGTAAAGTGCTTGCTGCAAGCATGGACACCTGACCTTGGTCCCCAGAAGCCATGTAAAGAGCAAATGGCTCAGCGTGAACCTCTAACACCAGTACTGGGGAGTCTGCAGAGATGGGGGGACTCTGGGGCTTGTGGCTAGCAAGCTGAGCTGAATCAGTAAGCTCTGCATTCAGTGAGAGTGGAGAGCGATTAGGTAAGATGTCCTGTGTGACCTCTGGCTCCCTCCTTCCTCATGTATGTGCACATACACAGTCACACTGCATCATCTCTGACTTCTGAGTGCATGTGCACACAATCACACTGTGTGACCTCTGGCTTCTGAGTGCATTACCATACACAATCACACTATATGACCTCTGGCTTCTGTGTGTATGTGCTTATGAGCGTGTGGGCACGCACACACACACACACACACAATCACATTGTATGACCTCTGGATTCTGAGTGCATGTACACATACACAGTCACATAAAAGATTTTAACAACTGACAGTTACAACCTAATAAGACCTTTCACTTTTAAGGAGTTCATGTTGCCTGACTGTGCTCCATGCACTGTATCATTTAATGTCCGTGTACCCGGCCTTAGAGGAATGGTTGTTTTTATGTTTTGTGCCTCATGAAACATCTGCTGAACCAAGCCTTTCACACCATTGACAGGTACTCACTTTTGTTTTCTCAACTCTGATTGGCGGTTGTTTTATCTTAAGGTTGTTCTGACGGCTTCTGCTGCACCTGTCTGTGAAACTGACCTTCTGAGTGTGGCTTGACTCGACATGGTGACCAGCACATGGCAATCAGAGAATAAACTGGTTTATGATCTGTTTAGCATAATCTACTGAAAATTTCTGATAAAGGAAAGGCCCGTCCAATTGCTCTTCCCTGTGACGGGAATGCCCTTAGTGTTGTCCCCTCTCCCGCAGCCATGGGGATCCTGTTTGAATGTTGTCTGTCCCTCTTAAGAACAGCAGATGTCCCTTCCTCTGGGCTCCTCAGTCACCCACGCAGCCTCCCTAAACCTCATTTGACACATTTCATTACCCCCTTTTCTTGCCGGCTCTTGTTTCTCTTTGGAGCCTGTTCTGCCTGGTTGATTTCGTTTTCTTTCTCAGAACCTTTCCTCGTCTACACTGGGTCTGAACTCCAAGGCGTGGCTACATTTATGTGCCTCGTGTGTATCGGTGCTCAGTCCACTTCTCCATGACCCTTGCATTTCCTGCAGATACACGCATGTGCTCGCTGCACATAGCTGTGTGTGTGCCGGAGTGCCTAAGCCATGGTCTTCACTGCGGCCATGGTGTGACAGAGGTGACTGCCAGGGAACACACGTTTGTGTCCGGTCCTGTTGTCCTTGCTTGCAGAGCTTGAAGTTCCTTCCCTAGTGAGGTTTCAGCATGCTTTGTGTCGACACTGTGAGTTACTTTCATGCCAAACAAGAGTAGCATTCCATTAGACAGGGAAGAAGAACCCTGTCACCCACTGTAACATGATAGAGTCGGGCTGGAGGTCTGAGCTATGAAAAGAATACCCCTGGCCCCTGTGAATACAGTTCCAGGAGCAGCACAGAGGGGAGGTGCCTGCTTCCCACCCAGTCGCCCACCCCTCTCTTTGCTTATTATAGCTTTCCATTGATAACCCCAGGAGACAGACATGACTTCCAGGGGCACAGGCTTTTGCTGCTGTGACTTGACTCTGTTTTGAAGTTTCTCTCCAAAGTGGTTGGTTTGCTTTTGTCTCCTGTGCACATTAAGTATGTGTTGCTAGTGGTGGATTAGGAGGGGCCCTCTGTGCCTTTGTCCCAAGACCTCAAGTCATGTAAGTTCAGCAGCTGAGAGGAGCAGAGAGCCTTGCTGGGGTCAGGAGTAGACAAGAGCACAGATCATATCTGGGTGGGTGGGGCCTTCGGAGCAGCTGCTGGTTTGGATGATGACAGAAAGAAGTGTTCTTCCCTCTTATTTAATGGGCAACTGGTCTCTTTGGTTTTATTTAGCTGTCTCTTCTGGTTCATGCCCCTTTAAACTTGTTAAGATCCATCACCTCATTTACGCTGTTACCTTGACACATTGCAGGGCTGTGGACATAATGATTCCACAGAAGAGCAAATTAAAACGTTTCTTCATGATTAGAAGGTTAAATGAGGTAAGGCTGTGGTGGTTAGTGGGGAGATAAAGGGTTCTGAGGAGGCAGAGCTCAGGGGACTCTCGGTGATTAGAAAATTAGGCTGGCTAGACAGAGGAATGTGGGTTTTACAAATTACAGGAGCTGAGCAGGGACTGAGAAGTGATGGTGGCCCTGGATGCTGGCTCTGCTGCCTGGCTTACTCTGGGACCCAGGACACAGCATGGCTGTTTTGAGGTTTCTTTTCTCCCTTGAGAAGTTCTGGAGGTAATTACACCAGGAAGTAACAGCCCCACACCCAGCAGTGACCGCAGTGGAAGACCACTCATTCTCAGCAGCTTGGTTTTCCTTCATCTTGAAGCCAGCTCAGAGGTCAAGTCCAGTCTGGGGTCAGCAGGGGCACGTGTTGCTGGAGGGCTTCTCTCCAGGTTCCACCAAGCCCCGCAATCCCACAATCCACGTATAAAATAATCACTCAGACGCTTATATTACTTATAAACTGTATGGCCATGGCAGGCTTCTTGCTAGCTGTTCTTTTATCTTAAATTAACCCATTTTTATAAATCTATACCTTGCCACGTGGCTGGTGGTGTACCGGCAACTTTACATGCTGCTTGTCATGGCGGTGGCTGCAGTGTCTCTCCCTCCTTCTTCCTGTTTCCCCAATTCTCCTCTCTCCTTGTCTCGCCTATACTTCCTGTCTGGACACTGGCCATCAGTGTTTTATTTATATAGAGCGATATCCACAGCAGGCGCGTCACAATAGCTGTTCCTAAGGTCTGTCCTCAGTTCTGTTCTGTGTTCCCGCTCTAGCTTTGACTTTCTGACTCCATGACTGCTGAACTTCTGGTCGCTAGAAAGGAGCACCTAGAGAGCCAAGGTGCTTTACCATCTGGCTCCCTGGATAAATTATTGCGACCGAGGTGACTTCTACAGGATTCCCTGTAACGCTGCTGCTATCTAGGCCCAACTCTGAGTTTTGTGTCTGCCACTAATGTCCTATCTAATAGGTTTCAGTCCCTTCCACCTAAACTGAGGATCTTGAGTCTCACTCACTGCTTGTCCCCACTGCTCCAGTTTCCATCCTTGGTTTACAAGAAGACCAGCCTCCTACCCATTTCTAGCCACCTCACTCCTCTCTGTTCCAAAGTACCGTTCACTATGTTGGGTTATGACATAGCTTTATCTTTAGAAAATTCCAACAAATGAACAACAACAAAAAGTCCACTTTGGCTTTCTGCCGTCTCCCAGACTCAGGGCACACACCTTAGCGTGGTACCCGGGGCGACCCACCATAGTTATCACGTGTGCTTGCGACTTTCCTTCTGCATCCTGCACATCCGCTAAGAGAGACTGATTGGTTCCTACAGATAACCCATGCTTTCTTGTTTCCTTGCCTGTTTCTTCCATCTCGAAAGATCTACTCACACGTCCCTACCAATCAAAACATGCATTTTTATCAAGCTCCATTTCCAGTATATATCACTGCTGTCTCCCATCCCGACCAGATGCGGGGGCTCCGACTTTCTTCCCTCCCAGGACATTCATGGGAATTAGGCTGTGTGCTGTGCACTTGTCCCTCTTCTGGTGCTTAACATTTCGACTTTACATTGTGTGCACAGGTGAAGTTTTCTGCTGATAGAAACTGCTGGATACAGACCCAGAAGTGGAGGTGGGGATGAAGCAGGGTCGGTGAAAGAGCCGTGCATTTGCTGCATGGCCTGTGTGGTTTAAGCTGCAATTCTGTGCAGTGGGCATGGACACAGAGAAAACCTGTGACAAGCAGATCCAATGGCCTCAGGACCTGAGAAGCATGTGCTAGAAAAAGAAATCACCATAATTGCACTGTGGGAAAAGTATAGTCAAGATGCCTTTAGAGCACCAGTTCTCAACCTGTGGGCTGTGACCCCTTTGAGGGACAACCAACCCCTCTGGGGGTTGCATATCAGATATTTACATTATGATTCAGAACAGTAGCAAAATTGCAGTTATGAAGCAGCGATAAAAATAATGTTATGGTTGGAGGTCACCACAACATGAGGAACTGCACTAAAAGACTGCAGCATTGGGAAGGTTGAGAACCACTGCTTTAGTAAAGGGGGCGGTGAGACTTCCCCTCTGCTGGGGCTGGGGGGCTGCTGTCGGAATGACGGTGGTGGGAGGGAGCTGGGGAATCAAAGGTCTCCAGTGGTTGGAAATGTCAGGTCTGAGTTCTTCAAATAACAGAAGTGGACAGAGATAACCGTAAGGAAGAGGAAAGCAGGCTAGGAGAGGGTAAGCAAGGTTTCTGCCACCTGCTTGCCAAATGATGGCTTTTTCTCTGCTCCAACTGAAATATCCTAAAAGAGAATCCTTTGATTCCTTGGAGAGAGAAAGGGATACCCACCCCCACCCACCCTGCCTCACACCTCTATCCCTCCCCTTCCCACCCTGTGACTGTCGCTGGTTGAAGGTCACTCATCGTTCTTTCCCTCTCTTCTCCGCTGTTTTGCAGAGGAAGTCTGTGCTTGCGGTGAGCTTCATAGTCCTGTGCCTCTTGCTGCTAGCCATGCGCCTTGTCAATGACGTGAATTTCCCTTCGCTACTGAACTGCTTTGGACGACCTGAAACCAAATGGACCCCATTGTCCTACACATTCAGGCAGCCGCTTCGAACTCACTATGGATACATAAATGTGAGGACCCAAGAGGTAAGACCTGAGAGAGTTACCTGGGAGAGTATCCATGGCAACTATTTTCCAGTAGGAGCAAGATGGCTTCCGAGTCATTCCATTTACCCGTGCTGTCCCACTGAGATCTTTTGGGTCCCTGACAACATTTTCTGTTTTCCTATTCTTAGATACTTCTGACACACGTCTAAACTCTTTCTACTCCCTCCCACATCAAACCATCAAATGGCTGGCTTCCTATGGAGTCGAGGAAGCAATTACCTGTTTTCCTGGTGGTTTGAAGCTTAACATACATATCTTTCCGTTCAGATGCTCTGATCAGTGGCCACCAGCTGGAGAAATGACCGACTTTATTTCCTGTAGGTCATCTGGTTGGGGACAGCTCTTTATAGAACTTGAGAAAAGCATTTGTCTCTTTATAACTGTCATCCTTAGACCTAGAACTAAGAAAAAAAAAAAAAGGTCAAGCTGAATTTCACCATTTGTGGTGGCTGCAGAGATAATGGAGTTTAACATGCTTCCACATTTAAAGGGGTTAAAACCATTTAAATCCTGCAATCACTGAATTTTTAAATCTTCGTAGACTGTTAGTTTCTCAGGAGAAGGTGGCTAAATATTGACAGCTAGGAAGAGTACACTAGGCTAGTAGGTGTGTGCGCGCGTGTGTGCGTGTGTGCCTGCGTGTGCGTGTGTGCGTGTGTGTGTGTGTGTGTGTGTGTGCGCGTGTGCGTGTGCGTGTGTGTGTGTGTGTGTGTGTGTGTGTGTGTGTGTGTATAAGCCAGGAGACAAACTTGGACAATTTTAGGATCAATTCCTCAGGCACTGTGTGCACTTTTTCTTTGATTGTGAGATGGAGTCTCTCACTGATCTAGAGCTCACCATGTACAGTAGGCTGACTGACCAGGTGTCCCAGGATCCACTTATTTCTGCCTCTCCAGTGCTGGGATCACAAGCACATGCCACCAAACTGACTTATTTATTTGAGAATTTCCTAGTCATATATGTTTTGACTGGATCCACTCTAACTTCATGTACTCCTTTTGAAGCCCCACAGAGCACTATGGCTTGATTATGAGCAGGCCACAGCTTCTGTGAGTGCTCATGTACCATGGCCTTGTTGTGTTCATAAAGCACCTTTCACAGCCAGGCAGCAGTGGTGCACGCCTTTAATCCCAGCACTTGGGAGGCAGAGCCAGGCGGATCTCTGTGAGTTTGAGGCCAGCCTGGTCTACAGAGTGAGATCCAGGACAGGCCCCAAAACTACACAGAGAAATCCTGTCTCAAAAAACAAACAAACAAACAAACAAAAACAAAACAAAACAAACAAAAGCACCTTTCACACAGTCCGTCTGCCCTCAGACATGGAGATTCTCAGGACTCTGACTCAGGTGCTCATGTTCACATGGAGACTGTGGTCTGAACCAAATCCCCAGTTATCTTCAGGGTTTTGTTTCCTGAGGTACAGAAGGGGGAACGCCCCCCCCCCAAAAAAAATAAGGTGAAGCCAAGGTAGTGACACTGTTTTCAGTTACTTCCATGGGGTGGGGCAGGTGTGAGGCACGTCAGTGTTGGTGCAACATCAATTCTTGTTTGACATTGTTGGTGACAGAGGCACAGTCCACCAGAGTGTCACATCACCGAGCAGCATTTGGGAACAAGGCCTGTTGGAGAACCGTTTTGTGACTGTCCTGGAGAGGGGCACCAGGCGGCTCTTTTGTGGCCAGCGGCATGCCCGAGCTGCTGCTTTCTTCACTCTCTGAACATTGTTTTTCTATCTCCTGGATTTATAGACTGTTTATTAGACCTTTATAGTTGAGGGGAGGCACCATTAATAATATATAAATTCCTCAGAGTCTTGCTTGATGTGTATCCTCTAATTGGTTTTAAATTAACTTTGGAAAGTCTCTTGCTGGAATCTGTCGAGTGTCCTGATAAATTGATTACCTGTATAAAAATGTGTCTTTTAGAGAAGAGCTCGTCTCACTCTTGTCTCTCGTTACTTTTATGTCTGGCTGTCACTTAATATTCTATAACTCTGCAGCATGGGTTAATCATTTCACAAGTGCCTGCCACAGGCTGAAAATGGAACATATGGATAAAGTATCTATGAATTGTGCTCATGAGGAATATGCCACTGGATAGCAAAGCCCTTATATTTGTCTAAATATTTGTGAATTGAATTTTGGAGTAACCCCGCCTCTCCTTCCTGTTGCCGTGAACTGTGAACTCTGCCCTGCCTCCACATGATGGGCTGTACCCTCTCAAGCCACTAACCCTTCCCTCCCTTAACTTCTATACTTCCAGCTATTTGGTCACAGCTATGAGAACAGTAACTAAGACAGTCCTCCATGTAAAATTACAATTAAGTATATTTATTATGCTTTCCTTAGGTTAGTCTGTACATTGATGAGAGGGAGCTGCTTCCCTTTCTGCACCCTCAGGGGTCATGACTTGAGAGTCTCAGAGCATTGATTCAAGTACCTATCACTTAGTTCTATGACTTTGGTTCCTGAAGGCCTTCTCATCCTATCTCTTACTTAATGCACTCATACCAGTGAACGGCCATGCAGAGGATAATATTTAGAAAGAACTGGTGCACAACCTTCTGGAGGTGAGAGGGGGTCGCATAATGGGGTATGTACTGTGTTAGAGATCAACTAAGTGTGGAGGCAGATGGGAAGCACATTTTGATGTCTTCCTATTTAGCTAAGAGCTTTGCTTCTTGCTCTCTGAAGAACTGATTGAAGGAGGTATCACATCCCTCCCAGCATGGCTGTAGAAAATGGAAGAGAATGTAGCAGGTGCCCTCCCACTTCCTCTTCCTCTCCAAACCAGTGCGAGCTCAAGTTCCTATTACTGAGTGAGAGGAAATCTTGAGACACGAAATCAATGCCACTAATTGGATGAGGGCTGAATTCTGATGTCTCGGCTGGTCACTGAACCTGGAGTCCTTACCAGTAAATACTATGATTGAGTTGGCTGCTATCACTCTGAGGCAGTGCCAAGCTGCAAGAGGAACTGGAATGAGGTGGATTTTGCAGCACCTGCTGTATCCCCTGTACCTCATAGCTGACCCATAACTAACTTCTCAGGCTCCCCTTACTATCTCATAATTATCCATAATGCAATCGCATTAAAAATGTTTTTAGTGACGGATGGGTTTATTTCAGTTTAAACTTCAAGATTATAGTCCATTATTGAGACAGGACAGGAACTCAAGCAAGAACTGAAGCAGAAACCATTGAGGAACACTGCCTACTGGCTTACTTTCCAGCTTGCTCAGTCAGCCTTCTTTACAACTCAGCCAGCCTCTGCCCTGCCTGGGAAGGGTGCTGCCCACGCCGTTCCTATTAGTCATTAATCAGGCATCTTCTACAGACATTGTCACAGGCCAATCTGATCTGAGCCGTTCTCGAGTTATGCTCCCTCTTCCCAGGGAGTAGTGTCAAGTTGACAATAAAAACTAATCAGCACAACCCACTTCTTGTTAACTTGACACACACATATATAATCACTGTTAAGTCATAACCTTTCCTTTTTTGTTTGTCCCCAAGATCTCATGGTAATATCATAATGTAAAATACAATAGAACTTTAAAAGCCCCACAGTATTTTAAAAATTCTAACATGTAAATATTTTTATCGAGTACTTGTAAAGAACCATTCTGTGGTATTAAGATAGGGTGACCATATTATCAACTCATGTTGAACATGATTTTAAAAAGCATGTCATCCACGGGGGTTTAAAAAATAACGTGTATATTTACACTTGGCATCATCCTGTAAATGGTGCTATTTTCTAAGCATTTTAAATTATTACTTGTAGCAGATAGGGCAGGGATAAAGGATCTAGACACCGGCATGATTTGGTTCAGGGCGTCATTATTCCTTCTATTGAGGTCATGACAAGTGAGGGGGAACGAGAAATTCCCTTTGGCTGGGTTCCAATCTTCATTTGCCACTGTAGGCTCAGTCACTGTGTTGGGCTCTTTTGTGAAGTGACATGGTGTGAAGACATTGCCTACGGGAAGCCACCCATAGAGCATTCGCGTTGGCTACTGGAGAATCAGTCACTGATGGTCAAGGGGGCTGCAGTCCCAAGTTTCTGGTGACCAGTTTCATGGCAGACATCTCCTCCAGATCTGATAAGAGAACCGGATATGTTAGAACTGAGAGGAAGGCTGGTATTTGGAAAAGAGTGCCCTTTCCCATAATGCTCAGGGAGAAGTCTGGGCATCCAGAACACAGCAATCAAAGACTGTATTTTCAGTCTCTTAATTTAACTAGGCTGAAGTGCATCTCTTTAAAAACTGAGAATCCTAGAAAGCCTGGAGTAGACAAAATACGAATACTTTGCATCAGTTCCTATGACAGACAGGCCATGCTAGTTTAATTATAGATGCACATAACATATTGATGTTGCAATAGAATTTCCTAAATGGTGGTTATTGTAACAATTAAGGAACAAAGCTGACTTTCTTGGCAATAAAAGAACATGCTCACCACAGTCATATAAATGTGCACTTGTAACTAAGGCTGGCGTGAATGGGTTTTTTATGTTTGGGTGTATAGGCTTTAGATTTTACAGAAGTATATGGAGAGCAGTTATATACAGATGTATGCTCTCAAAATTTTAAACTGATCAACTTAATTGTTAATTAAGTTTTGGATATTCCCATTTGTGTAATTATAAAGAAAAGGAAATTTTAACTTTCAAGTTGCTTTACAGAAAGAAACAATTAATGTATAATAAAGGTTATGTATTTGACACATGTACATTGGATTTGTCATTTTAAACAACACTTATCATTTTTCTGAGGGCTTGAGGGCATCTATCTGTTGAGTGGAGGAGGGATGATTTTATTTCTCAGGCAGGCTGCGAGATAGCAACTCTCAGTCAAAAAGCACATCTCAAGACAGTTGTAAAACTAAATGCGAAGGAGAGGGTTGACATCACTAAGGGTTGAGACAATTCCAGGGTGATTTTGTGGCATGTGAGACAGGTAACATGATGCTTAGCTT